TTTTTAATGTTATACGGGTACCAATGCACTTAAACATATCAACTTACTTGATAGTTGTGCGATTTACTTTGATGTTGCATTTTAGAGGGTCAGTTGTCTTTGTAATTACAATTACTTTTGTTTTTCTGCTGTTCGAATTAGGACTGTTCACTCGCTCCCAAAGGGCCCTCACAACTTCCAATTTGTCATACATCAGTTTACCACCAAGTGGTGCAGAACCAGCCAGTCTATCTGCCTGCTCATTTCCAAACACACCCTCATACCCTGGGAAAAATATCCAAAGTATGGCAACTACCCGGGACGTCGGCAATGATACCTGCCACTCTGCACGGAGCATGCCTGTCTCCGCCTTTCTCAATATGCATGTATGTACAGCTGATTCTCAAGCCAGTGGAAGGCAGCAGTGACTATCTCCACCTCCATTTCCAAACTAGACGTTGTGATATCATATGCCATGCTTTCTTGCACGAGGCGACGTTCATTCGCCTTCGCTATGAACCACCATGCCCCTCAACAGAGAGCCATCTCTATATAAAATCACATCACCTGGGCGGGAATTTTCATGAATCATTTGTTGAACTGATTCTGCAGCACCAACTGGCCAGTCTCTGCACTCACGACCTAATGTTTTTAAAACCCTACACAAGTCTGAAACTTGTTCTGACACCCTGACCTACTCCTCTCCTCACTCAAAATTCTCAAGCCTGCACACATGTCTTATTGTGTCTTTAGCTTGCGCCATCCAAGACCTTCCTCTTTTCAGTCTGTGACTCTTAGCTCTACTTAGGGCTTCATGCCGGTAGTGTTTCTTGTCCGCAGCTACTCTGAGATATGACTTTGCTTGCAGAACTTTAAGCCTGTCTGCAATAGTAGGCAGTGCATACATACATACTACCGGGGTATCTCTTGTACATCCCAGAATTACCCGCAGGGCTTCATTCTGTATGCGTTCGAGTTTCATCAGCTGACTCTTTGATACGGTAAGCATGGCAAGTCCATAATCTATCACCGACAGGATTACATGCTACAACATTTCGAACAGCATTCTTTGTTCCATGTCCATTACTGCCATACTCTTAAGAGCAATGAGTGCTCTTTGGCGTTTCACCGCAACTTCCTCGACATGATCCCCGAAGAACAGGCTTCTATCTAAAATAATTCCCAAGTACCTCAGTTTGCTTTCTCTTTTGATGTTACTGTTATTAACTATTAGGTTTGGAATGTTTGCTTTTACAATTCTATTGTCCAGAGAGCAGCCGAAAACGGCTGCCTTTTGTGATTTGATTGTTGACAGCACCAATTTCTGCACACTAGTCAGTCACATTGTCTTCAGTTGCCTGTAACTCGTGAGCTATCCGTCGCCTATCTTTCCCCTGCCTATATGCAAGAACATCATTGGCATAGGTCAATATTCTTCCAACACATGGTAATTCAAGCTCTGCAATCCTGCTTGTATACACATTAGAGAGCACTAGCACCTGCTGTCCAGTTAACAAACCACTGACAAACCCCCTTCTCCATAAGTGCAGAAATCAAAATATCATGTTCGACTCTATCGTAAGTATCCCCAAGACGATCATCACTTACTAGAAAGGTGAGAAGGATCTACCATCAGAATGATACTAGTACCACTGGAATTGAAACTCTGAGCTTGCTGCTTAAGATGAATTTCCTGAGTGCTGTGATGTTTATTTTTAGTTAAACTTTGTTTTGGAGGGGCTGATTTTAATGGACCAGTTTACGGACTCATTATTCCAGTCTGTCAAGGGTTGTCTACAGTTTCGTCTGAGCAGCTCAAAGACATTGATCTCCACAAAGTAGTCCTACGTCATCAGCGAGTGTATCTTCTCACAAATATCAGTAAATTCTAAGTTTGGTAAGAGTAAAAAGTAAAAGACCTTCATGACACTGTCGCATTGTGCATTTGGGGATACACCAGTATAGTTATACAACAGTTTACAATTAATGTGATCTTTACAGTGATACATAAATAGGTAACCTCATAACGTGAAGTATGATTAAAATATAATATTATATTATTATTATTTATTTCTTTTATTTAAGTGATTCAGGGAAAGCGTGTGAAAGGACAGCTTTCAGCAGAGCTGAGTGCATGGTGCGAGCCTGTGAGCTGCGAATTTTTTTTGAATATTTTGCGACTGTTACCACCGTGGTGTTGTGAATTGTAGATTTAAAAAAGGCGCGTGGTCCGTCGTCGCAATATTGGTAGTGCCCTTATGTGATTATAATTAATCGCGTGTGCAACTGCTGATTTGTTGGTTACCTCTGCTACCGTCGTTGATGAACTGCATTTCTTATGTGGGACTGTTTGTGTTAGCACTTCTGATGGCTACTGTATGCTTTTAATGCGCGTGTATGCTAGTGCATATGCTGAGACAGCAGTTTGTCAATCTCTGTCGTCGCAATATTGGTAGTGCCCTTATGTGATTATAATTAATCGCGTGTGCAACTGCTGATTTGTTGGTTACATCTGCTACCGTCGTTGATGAACTGCATTTCTTATGTGGGACTGTTTGTGTTAGCACTTCTGATGGCTACTGTATGCTTTTAATGCGCGTGTATGCTAGTGCATATGCTGAGACAGCAGTTAGTCAATCTCTCCATAAGGGACTGTGATGAACATTCTGTGTGTTTTTCGTTGGCACGGGAGCGGAGCAACTATGGGGTGACCCGTTTGCTGTGAACCTGAAACTTACAATACCATTACCATACTATGTAAATTTCAGTGGATGGTAATTATTTGCGCTGTTTATGAGGGTATATTATTAGGCGGATGAATACGAAGGACCTCTATTATGAACATTCACAAAGTCACAGTATACTAACCACCCTCGCTATCACGATGGGACGATGAAATCATCATGTTTCGCGATCGACAAGCAATTAACCTGGTTTACATTCTCACACGATCACTCAAATCCCTAACAAATATAGTGGAAACGACATTTACAATACCAAAATCAAGACGAGAAACAGTGAGCACTGCTGCCAGAAAGCCTTCACCAGTAAACACAAAGGGATAGTGATACAATTACATACACAAATATATGATGTCTTTACTGGGTGGTTCTTTCACAGAATCTCCATAAGACGCTAGAACAGTAGAAGCTCTGGCTTCATGTGTCACTGTAGGTTATCGATACCTGACAGGAAGTGAAGCGGGATTGTTAGCCAGATGTGGAGTTACAAGAAGGGACGTAATTCTGCATTTTCTAGAATAATAATGTGCTGGACACGAACGGTTTTTGGCAAACAACCCCTTCACCCCCCCCCCCCCCATACACTGGACCACTACAGGTTATGTGGTAACTGTTTTGGGGTGTGCCAACATTAATGTGGTATATGGCTATGCGGTTGAATGGGATTTTTAGGATCTGTATTTCTTTGATGTTAATTCAGTAGACTGAAATTCTGGATGAGAAAACTAAGAAAACCAAACGGGTTTGGGGGAGGGAAGGGAGAGAGAGAGAGAGGAAGCAGATATATAACACAATTTTCGAGATACTTTTTTCCCCCCCCCCCCCCCCCCCCCCCTCTTCCCCCACATCCACACATACAGTTTCTGTTTGCGAGAGCTAATGGTTCTTGAGCCCTCACGTTCCTGCGCCCTGCTCGCTCAGCAGGTTGGTTGGACTTAACTCTCATGATATGCTCAAATGATTTTTTCTGTGATATGTGGTAAACATTTCGCCAAGCCTGTTTGTTGATAGACCGGCTGGTTCTACACCACCTGGTGGCCAACTGATGTATGCCAAGCGAGATGCTGTAAGGGTCCTATTGGAGCGAGTGAAGAGTTCTTTGGCACACACTAATCATCAGGGTTTGATGAGAATGGTACAGCAAGGATTAGCCATCGGAGCTGGTCGACATTCACGGGAAGGGAGAGACGGACAAACAAACAGACTTTTACTGTTAACGCTGGAACTGGAACTTTTGGGAAATGGGGTTGTCACCAGAGCTGTAATGTAGATTCTACATTCAACATCCACAATTCAAAAGGAATCAATGGCGGATGTTGTCACCACTGCTTCATTTGTATTTTGTTTCTCACGGGAGACCACCACAGTAAAGGGAAAAACAAGCAAATTACAGTAAACGGACCCTTTTCGCACACGATGAGGTGTACTGGTTATCTGTTGCCAGCTCCAGATGTGGTCAAGGCCCTTTGGGTACAAGCAATGCAACCAGTAGAGAAAAGATTATTATTGCCTGGAGAGAATAAGGCACCTGGGTGTAACCAGAGGGTTTGGCCGACTCACTGCACTCAGAGGAAAGGCAAGAAGGACATATAACCAGATTGTGACCGGTACCATCAGTATTGGGACTCTGCGCTGGCTGCTAAAGATGAGCATGCATAGGAATGCCCCGAGTGCTGTGATGTCGATTCTTGACTCAACTGTTGCCAGCTGTATCATTTATTAGGAAATATCCGCTCAGTATGTTGTGTGGAAGGGCTCCTACCGTCTGCTTGTGCTTCCTAGAATATTTTACGATCCACATTTTTAACTGAGGCGACTGTGAAACAGCTGTCAAATTTTTAAAATGCCCATCTTAATAAAGGTAAAGGTAAAGTCGGGAGATGTGAACCAGCGTTATTGAGCACGGTTATAAACCATAAGTGCTCTGCCACCAGTACGGACAGATGATAAGAAACTGTTCGCCTGTGTCGCCGTTCGCACGTAACTCTGTAGCTACAGCGACGTTCCTCCATTTACCCCAGAGTGTCAACTCTGGTATCCATTTCCTAGAGGCTGGGTGAACTTCGAGAACCGTCCGGATTCGAACACCGACGGTTGCTGCAGCGAGTCGCAGCTGGATTTGAAAGCGAGCCTCCTATCGGCTGCGCTAACGCGGCCCATCTTAATGTGACAAACAGCATTATGTAACGTGATGCATTGCATCTAATTAGTTATTAAAGCTCTGAGACTGAGCACCTAGTATAAGAGAACAAAGCTAACGCTGTTATTGCTTACAATCAGTTCAATCGTGACCATGTGGCCAGAAAAGCTTTTGGCAGACCAAAAAGTCTGGGTCAGTAGGCCAGAAAACATCATTGGTGGCCAGGTGAAGGACAACACCACATTCCGACAGCTACAGAGTTTGGCTAAGTCATGCAACTGCGAACCGGTCAAATCTGGGCTTCAGAAGATCTCTGAGGACAGGTTAGTGGCTTTAAATGAATATTACTACACACACACACACACACACACACACACACACTTATATATATATATATATAGTTTTGCTTGCCATATTCTGTATATTTGCTTAGGTGCCTCACTTAATTATTTACATCAAGAAGCACCCACACGAAAAACAAATCAACCAACTCTGTTCATCTTACATACACATATCATGCTTCTGTTCGTTACGCTATACATCTAACCAAAGAAATCTGAGGTTATAAGTGTGTCCTTCTGTTTAATTAATGCTGCACTTGGCTCGCTGGGACAAAGAAAGCATTGGGGAATTGGGGCCTTACAAATCGTCCTGGCAATAATAGTTCGATAAAGAGGGCTGTAGCCCCCCCCCCCCCCCTCCCACCCGCCCAGAATAATTTCAAAAAGGTCCTTTATCTTTCTTTTTTTTTTTTTTTTGTTCTACTTCTTCAGTTGCATACATCTTTCTTTCTTCTTCTTTCTTCTTTATCTTTCTTTCTTCCTCTTTCAATGTTTTTTTCTGTTTCTTTCTTTCTTCTTTTTTCCTTCCTTCCCTCATTCCTCTCTCTTCTTCTTCTTCTTCTTCTTCTTCTTCTTCTTCTTCTTCTTCTTCTTCTTCTTCTTCTTTATCTTTCTTTTTTCCTCTTTCAACGTTATTTTTTTATCTTTGTCTTTTTTTCTGCTTTCTTCTTCTGTCTTCTTCTGACATTTTTCTTTCTGTATTTCTTCGTTCCTCTTTTCTTTGTCTTCTTCTTCTTCTTCTTCTTCTTTTTCTTTTAAAAAAAGAACCTCAGTTTCCCGTGTGGGTTCTGGGGCCCTATTATGGGAAAAACAAGAATAGACCCACTGCCTACCCAAAAGCATGTCGTAAGAGTCGACTAATTGGGAGCTTCCTTCGAAGGAGTGCTTCTGCCTGAGAGGCAAGGAACTAACAGTCTGCATACAGATCTGTCAAACGGATGCACACGCAACACTCAGGTTCTGGAACAGGACTTCAGTCCAGAAGTGGACGAACAACCAGAACTTTCCGCCGGAGTTTACATCCGGTGAACGAGAAGAAAAAAAAGAAACCTTAGTAAACAATGCATAGAAATTCTCTTTAAAAGTGTTTTTTTTTCTTTATACATTTCATATTGTTTCAAGTGTGTTTTTACATTTACTAAATGGGTAGCACATTATTGTTATTATTATTATTTTTTTTAATTGTTATTATTAATATTATTATTATTGTAATAGGCTGGTTAGACATGTTTAGCCTGTTCATATTTTATTTTGGTTCGGCCTCACCTGCCAACCAAAACTGGCAGGTTTACAGATCAGAACTCTCCGGAAGGGGCCAGTGAGTCTAAAGGCCCAGCGCAGTAGAGAGTGCTCACTTGGCTCTGCTTCTTTGGTCTTGCCAGTCGCCCTAGAAACATGTTGTACCCCCGCCCCCCCCCTCCTTTTCCCCTTATCGTTGCGGAATTGTATAGGGTCGTCAAAGCAACGTAAGTGTGATGGACTGAGTCGAGTAAGATGAACTGGCTCACGTGTTTTGTGTTTGGTGTTACGTTCAGTAGGTAGACTGTGTTGGATCTAGATTTGATTAGCACGTGGTCTGTTTGAACATTTGTAATGCATTGTTGTCTTCGAAGCACTTATTTTGTTGTTAAGGAAAATAAATAGATGTTGAATGTGGCTAATTATATTTCTGTTTTTATTAAATTCAGATTAGGACTTGTAGTTCATGCACGTGGTTTGTATAGGTGGTGCCTAGGTAGTTATATGTTGTGAAATTAACTGTTTATATATTTCTCGCCTCGGCAATAAGTAAAATTTCATGGTTCCTGCACAAGAAGAATCCTTGTGTTTTTCTTTACTTTAACAGCTGTTGCAGACAAGCGTGGAACTATTTATTTTCCTAACCACATTTTTCCCCTCGCCTCCATACATTTGTTTTAACTGTTTAGTTGCACGGCTAGCTTATTATTATTAACTATTATTGTTGTTTTTATTTTGCAAATAAATCTAGTGTACATGAAATAATATGAATTGTAATCAAATACTATTTAAGATACTTTCTTTACATACTTAAATGAGCATCTTAGCCCCTTAATAAACATTTTATTTCAGAGAGGGATGGTGATGGTGGGTGGGTGGAAGGGGGAGCTTTCATCCTAATATATTTCGTTAAGGGGGTTGAAGTGACAAGGGCCTGAACGCCCCCCCCCCTCCCTGCCCCAGTCTCTGGTACCTGCGCCCGGATTAGACACCATAATTTAAACAGACTAAGAATTCTAGAGTGTTCACTTTGATATGATCGAGCTGTACTCTCTGTGAAATGAATTCACTGAACACAAGCTATGACTTGGAAGCCTAACGAATGGAGAAAGTGGGGTGGGTGGGGGGAGAAGGGATTATTCCTAAGCAGACACACACATTAAATGCATACAGAAGCCGTTAGTAGTGCCTACACAAACAATCCGACACTAGAACTGCCACTCATAGTTGGTGTAGGTAAAAGTTTCAATACTTTAGTTGTTGCACGCGCAGTTAATCGCACAAATGATAAGGCATTACCGATTCTGTAGCAATATGCCACTAGCCTTTTTCTGATTCTGTATTTAACACAAAGTCATAGGGAATAGTCGAAATGAATTCCGAATGAAATCCTCAGCTTAGAGTATCGTCCCATGCATTCATCTCAGTAGCTAGGCGAAGGAACGTAATATTTTAAGTCTACGTATAGGGAAAAATGCAACGACTAACTGTAGCCAATGAAGATAAAGATTTCAACAATATTAAAGGCAAAGGTGACAATTTCGATGATAACAAATATAATAATTATCGTAATGATTAGGGGGATGATTTTAATGATAGTGATAATATGATGGTGATTGGGATGATTTATTTTTTTAAAAATCTAGAACCATAACTAGTCCTTTTTTTTTTTTTAAGTCGCAGTTTTTGTTCTTAGTCTGGTTTGTTGTTTTTATTTATTTATTTATTTATTTATATTTTTATTTTTATAATGAGCAACAAGTTGTCCATTAATGCTGCAGCCACATGACCAAACCGCTCTATTGCCTTTCAGACTATGTAGAGATCATTTCTCGAGACCGCTATCAGAGCTGTTCATGGACACGGCCAATCCACCGGACTTTCTGGTCTCATTTTCTAACCTCGCCCTTGGCTCCATTCTACAATATACATTCCCCGGAGCAAAAAGTGGAGTATATAAGGTAATTAACTCGTGTTTGCTGTTTTTAGTAGTTTTGATACTGCTGCTGCTATTGTTGTTGTTGTTGTTGTTGTTGTTGCAGCTGTCGTTGTTGCTGTTGTCGTTCCTATTATTTAAATTGTGTTGCTGTAGTTGCTGCTGATGTTGTCTGTTGTTTTAGCATCAGGTGTCGTTGTTGTGCTGCCAGGGTCAGAAGAAAACGAATAACTTATTGGACACAAATATAGGCAGGCTCTACAAAGAAGGAACTCGCAAAGCCTTTAAAAAAATAGAAAATGATAACCAAACGGTGAATTCTAAGGCTTTACGAGACTTGTAAAACAGAATCATAAACGACATATTCGTGTGATCCTGTCTGTTTATATTTTGTCATGTCTGTTTTCATGAATAATATTTTAATACATTGAACGACCACATTCATAACATTCTGAAAAAAAGTGAAGATCAACTGTTGAGCGACAACATCCATAACATTCTGAAAGAAGTGAATATCAACTTTTGAGCGACAACATCCACAACAGTCTAAAAGAAGTGAATATCAACTTTTGAGCGACAACATCCACAACAGTCTAAAAGAAGTGAATATCAACTTTTGAGCGACAACATCCTAACAACATGAAAGAAGTGAATATCACCTTTTGAGCGACAACATCCTAACAACATGAAAGAAGTGAATATCAGCTTTTGAGCGACAACATCCTAACAACATGAAAGAAGTGAATATCAACTTTTGAGCGACAACATCCTAACAACATGAAAGAAGTGAATATCAGCTTTTGAGCGATAACATCCACAACAATCTGAAAGAAGTGAATATCAGCTTTTGTATCACTTGAGAAAGAGCACTCTGAAGATATTTACGTTTCTCCATCTCCCGCCCATACACATACACAGAACACATACACAAAACACACACACACACACACAGCACATACACACAACAATACACACACAACACATACACACAACACATACACACACATCACATCCACACAACAATACACACAACACATATACACAACACATACACACAACACATACAAACAACACATACACACAACACATACACACAACACATACACACAACACAAACACTCAACACAGACACACAACACAGACACGGTCATATGGTAACTTGAAGAAAAAGAAGAAGTAGACAAAGAAGAAGAAGAAGAAAAAGAGAGGAAGGAAGAAAGAAAGAAGGAAGGAAAGAAGACAGAAGAAGAAAGCAGAAAGAAGAAGGAAAGGGAAAAAAATAATATTAAAAGAGAAAGAAATAAATAAAATAAAAAAATAAGAAAGAATGATGTATGCAACTGAAAAAGAAGAACGAAAGAAAAAAGATAATGGTAAAAGAACACTGATGAAAAGAAAATAACAAAGAAAGAACAAATAAAGAACAGGAAGACGAAGAGGAGGAAGAATAAGAAGAAGAAGAAATAGAGGAATAAAAAGAAGCGAGGAAGGAAGGAAAAAAGAAAGAAAGACAGAAAAAAAAAGAAGGAAAGAAGACAGAAGAAGAAAGTAGAAAGAAGATAGCAGAAAGAAAGAAGAAAGAAAGAAAGAATAGAAAAATGTGCACTGAAAGAAGAATAAACAAAGATAGAGAAGAAAGAAGAAGAAAGAAGGATGTGCGCAACTAAAAAGAAAAACGAAAGAAAAAAAGATAATGGTAAAAGAAGACTGAGGAAAAAAAAAAGAAGAAAAGAAGAAATTGAGAAAAAGAAGACGAAAAGGAGGAAGAAAAAAGAATAGAAGAAGAAGAAGAAGAAGAAGAAGAAGAAGAAGAAGAAGAAGAAGAAGAAGAAGAAGAAGAAGAAGAAGAAGAAGAAGAAGAAGAAGAAGAAGAAGAAGAAGAAGAAGAAGAAGAAGAAAAAGAAAAAAAGAAGAAAAAGAAGAAAAAGGAAGAAAAAAAAAGAAAGAAGAAGGACGCAGGAAGCAGGAGGAAGAAGAAAAAAGACAGAAAAAGAATTAAGAAAAAGAATAAAGAAGAAGGAGAAGAAAGAAAAAAGAAGAAAAAGAAGAAGAACTTGTTTGTGCAGGTGAATGTGTGTTGTGATTTTAATTGTTGCAGTTGCATCTCCATCAGTTCAGTGAGTCCCCACGATGAATGCCGGCACAAATTATGTAAACAATTCTCAGTTTCTTGTCCTGCTTTTTATCTAAGTTTGTCTGTTGCTTGTTCATATATTGATATGTTTCTTACATTTGTATGATTCTCTTCTTGGTCGCTTGCCTGAAGTCATTCCCCATACAGGTTTTTCGAGTGGCATGTCTTCTAATGTGTTTGAAATATGTCACTGGTCTTTTTAAAATTATATCTTAACTACTTTTTTTGTTTTTGTTACTTCTGTCGGAATATTTGTATTTGATTTTGTTTGTTGGGGGGAGGGGGGGGGGAGCTGTGGGGGTTAATGTATTACTGATTCTTCTGCATCACTAGTGTGAGGCATCAAAAGCATGGACGGATGAATATAATTTCAAAGCAGAAACGTAAAGCCATAATTATGGTGTGAAGAGAATGGTGCGGCGGAAAGTGGCCAGGGGATATTTACGACACTCGACAGTTAGGGAAGATGCCAGACGGACATACAATAAAGCTGCTATTAGTACCAGCGGAAATATGCATTTGTGCTGGCTGCTGAAGATGGGTACGGAGAGCTTGCGTGAATATAACGAGTCCTTTGATAGAGGTGCTTAACTCAGCTTGAGATCCTTTAAGATGTCACTAATGAACGCATAGTAAGTTGGTCGGTATTAAGGGGGTAATTAGTGAAAGCCTAGGAACGTTAATAAATAGCGAATACATATGTCAGTTTTGTACCTCCCTAGGCAGAGTCCCAACTTTGGATGACTGCCAACACTAACGTCCAAGTTCTCATCGACAAGCTAAAATCAACGGTCATTGTCTTTCCGGCGAAAGTTCCACTAGCATCTACTAACGATTCGGCAACAATGAATAATAACAGTATGGCATCTACTGGAAAAACAGCTGGGCGTCTTACAAAAAGAGAAGCGATAAGTCCTACTTTTCCATTGGACACTACAGGGTCTGAAACTGACAGAAGCGTCAATACTATATTAGACAAGACTACATTAATTTCTGAAGCTGACACAGGTGCCAGTGCTACATTGGATAATTCTTCAACAAGTTCTGAAGTTGGCAAAGGTCTCAAGACTACACTGGACAATACTACAGCAAGTTTTGACGCTGATGATAGTTTTCTACTGGACAATTCTTCAGTAAGTTCCGAGCTCAGCCAAGGCAGCGACGTGTTGACTGGAGCAGCAATTGAAGATAACATTACGCAAACAAATATGACAGAAACGGCCCATACGTCTGCTGCTGCTCTGAAAGCCAATGAAAGTTCAGATTCAACAGTAGCAGCTGAAGCTATAGATAATAGGCAACAAAACACAACTTCTGGTGATCAGTCAGCTCAAGACATTACTCCCATCAACGATGTTGTAGAAGATCCTCTATCTAGCAACACTACCACTGTACCACCAGCTTCAGAGGTAACATCATTGCAGCCATCTGTTACAGAAACTACTTTGTCTGCAACAAATACTACATTATCTGTAGCAAATACTACTTTACCTGCTGATGTGACCTCAAGCACAACTGAACCGACTGCAGAAAGTTCAACAGGAAAAACTGATGGCTCGGCGACGGTAGTAGAGGAAGTTCGGGTGAACCAAATTCTCAGCTCTGAATCCTACTACGCCAATAAAAACTATCTGGATGCTGTAGTACCCGACGCAAAAGAGAATGTGATTTTAATACCGTCTCTGGTAAGCAATTTTAATACCGTCTCTGGTAAGCAATCTTTAATAGCATCATAATTATTAGTAAATAGATAATTATTGTTTAAACGTCAGTTTTTGTGCGTGTGTTTTTGCCTTGAATGGGACATTGTGTTGTGGTTAATAGCTAGGCTGCGATATCTGCGCCTTCCGGCTCTAAAAATACGATTTCAGTACATCCTTAATTTTTCGATTTCAAAAATTGTTCGGGCAGTGGGTATATTTTTTTTCTCCCTCCAAATGGGACCTGAGAACCCACAAGGGAAAAACTCACGTGTTATAATCACCACCGTATCTAAACAACCATCAGTAATTAAACCACACGAGTTCTTCTTCTTTTGTAAATTTCTGCATTCGGTCACAGTTTAACAGACAACTCCTACCCGAGCCGGGATTTGCTTGGTTTTGCTTGGTTTCTGTGTATGCTGTGATGTTGTGACATTACCCGTTCCTGTAAGTAACTCGTCATTTCGTATTCTCTTAGGTCTTCCTCAGCCTCCAGGTGTTTGCATTTTCATGTGGTACCCCTGACTTGGTATCTCATGCTAAGATGATTTAGGAATTAATTTAATTAAAAAGGTGATCTTTTTTCCTTAAACTCAATAATTCACGAAAGGTGAAGACATTAGAGCAATTTCTGGATATCAGCTTGTATCCAGAATTGTATGAAGAACAAGATCTTTTTTCTTCTTCTTCTTTTGTTCGCTGGAAATATAGTATCTATATCTGCAATGTTGTCCCTAGTATGAACTTCACTGTATTTTGTAATTTACTCAGCGACCCGTAAAGTTTGACTTGCACCGATGTTTCTCTTGGCCAAAGTTTTGCCATGATATATCGTATTTGGGACCGTCTTGGAGGACATGATCTGTTGTCTTAGGTGCCAGTCCACATGTGCACATGGCTGATTCGCCGATTTCAAATTGTGTGTACATGTGGCTGCGAATTCAACTGTGTCCTGTTATAAGGTGTAGAATAATAAACTGCTCTGGTCTGCCCCAAAAAAATAGTAATCGTCTTGTGCTGGTTTTCGTGGCTTTCTGATCGATTTGATTATTCTCTTCTTTTGTTGATGAGAGACTGGTACGTCAGGTTGTTCTTCACTTGCACCTTCCTTAGCTAGTTTAGAGAAAAACAAGATGAAATTACGCTTGGAACATCCTGGGGGAGAAGAGGACGGTAAATCATAAAAGAGAAACTTAAATAGAAAATAAATGGATTGAGGAATCTTGGACGTTCAGAAGAAACCTCAAGATCAGAGTTGATGAAAGAGGCCAAAAGTGCTAGAGCAGATTCCACCTGTCATTTTGAGACAACTGTACATAATACGTACAAGAAGAAAAGAGGCTGCATAAAAACCAGCTGCAAATAAATGACTGAAAATGGCTCGTAAAGAATGCTGGAAAAGGAGCAGACAGGAATTCCCCATGGGGTGTGACAATCATCGATTCAGCGGTCTCATGTATGTAGCGTCCTTTAGATATTTATTTTTCCAGGCTAAGCCTGTGTATTTAGGACATAAACAGGCAGATAGACTGGCTAGTTCTTCGCCACTTGGTAGTAAACTGGTGCTTGCCAAGCAGGATGTTGCAGAAGACCTTTGGGAGCGAGCAAACTTTGCAGAGGAAAACATAGATCATTGCAGTCTGAAGAGGATGCAGCGAGGAATTAACAGTTTATGTGATCGACACTCATTACCTAGAGACGGACATACAGTCATTCTGTTAGGGGCAGTATGGAGTTTGAAACTTCTGCTACAGAAGATGGAGACGGAACACCTGTTGGAATATCTTGAGTGCTATGATGTCGGCATGTAACTCATAACCCAAAGCCTGTTTGACGTGTAACCCCACAACTTCGTAATGATGATGATGGTAATGAGGAAGAAACATCTCATTCTGCTTCTGCAGATACTGCAAAGTTTTTTTTCCTCCTTACTATTACTAATAATGAAATTTCATATATTACAAATTTGAGCAGCATTAGGTCCATCCCCACCCTGTGTGGGTTCAGGAGCTTTAGTTTAGAGAACAAAGAATAGACCCACAATCCCTAAAAAACAAGCATGTCGTAGAAGCCTAACAGAAATGTTCACTTCTAAATCGAAATGCATATGCTTGAGAGGTAAGGAACCAACCGTCTGCATACAAACAAGTTGGATTTTCGAAAGGGTTGCGGATACAAAACGAAAGTTCTAGATGAAGACCAAATTACAGGAGACCAAAACATTCCGCTGGTGTTTACAGCCGGTGAACGCGTAGAAGATGAGAAGAATCCTATCCCTATCATTACTGCCACCGCTACCAGTAATAGTTATATTCACATTGCTCATTGTATTCAACATCACTATTATTAAGACCATGAGAATCCCGATGGCGAAGCACTGAAAACGTTCCTCTCGCACTCTAAAGGCTGATGGTTCGTGTCATGGACGCGTCGATTGAGTTCACGATTGCAAGTCTTTAATGACATTCCCAGTGGATCGTCGCCGGTGATACGGAAGTTGTCTTCTTCTTTCTTCTTCGTGTTCACCAGCTGTACGCTCTGGCGGAAAGTTCTGGTTGCTCGTCCACTACTGAACTGCAGTCCTGCTCCAGAACCTGAGTGTTGCGTGCGCATCAGTTTTGCAGATCTCATTCTCTTGAATACAGACTGTTGGTTCCTTGCCTCTCCGGCAGATGCACTCCGACTTCAAAGGAAGCTCCCCAATTAGTCGACTCTTACGACATGCTTTAGGGAAGGCAGTAGGTCTATTCTTGTTTTCCCCACAATGGGGCCCCGGAAACCCACACGGGGGACGCAAGTTGTGCTTTGCGCGACGTTCACAACAGACTGCTTGGCGTTATGCGGAGAGAGATGGAGCCATACGGGATAACTCGGAGAAATCAAGTCCGTCTCGGAGACTTAACTTTGGCTTGCTAAGACTATGTAGCCATTATCATTACCAATATCACAGTCACTAATAACGCCAGTATCACCAATCACATCCGTAATATCAGTCACTAACAATAACACAATTACCCCCATTACACTAATACAATCATTGACACAGTAGCAACAATTAACGTCATTACCACTAAGAACACAACCGCCAACATTAGCATCAACTCCGATGTCACTATCAACAACAGTGCGACCTCCATTACATTTAGTACAGACAGCATATTTAATATCATCCTCACTTCTATTATCACTATCAATATTAATATCACCATCATTATTAATATCATCATTAGTACTAATATCACCATCAATATTAATATCACTATCACTAATAATATCACTATAATTATTAATATTACCATCACTATTAATTTTACCATCAGTCAGTTATCATCACATTTAATATCACTATCACGTTTAATTCCCTCGACACCCACAGCGGTAAAAGAGGAAGTGAAGAAGAAGTGAAGAAGAATCACGTTTAATATCACCATCAGACAGTCAATATCATCATCACAGTCAATATCATCATCACACTGTCAATATTATCATCACAGTTAATATCACCACCACCCCCAGTATCTAATATCACCATTACCTTTCATACAACCATCACTATTAACAACATAACCAGCTAATATGACTATCGCCAACAGCAACACTATGTTATGTCATCACAATCGACGTCACTGCTCACTAGGCATTCCTATGCCTGCTCAGTCCTTCTATGCATCAGCCATTCCAAAGTAGTTCTACAAATTGTTCCCACTCGAAGATGGCATAGACGTGCTTCACCATGCTTTTCTCCCATGTCACGCAGTCATGTTAGTGTCAGGGATTCCTCATTATCTAATAGCCCAATACGTACAGCGTTGACGATATCTGCTCCGTCCATGCTTCATGTCACATTCCTTGGTGCATTGCTTGCCAGTTGGTCCGCTCACTCATTACTCCTTACGCCCGCATGACCAGGTGTGTAGATCCAGGTGAGGGAGGTTAAGTGCGATTTTCAAATGCTTTCTACCAATTCAGTACGCACACAGCTTGTTGCTATCTTCTCAAGCATATTCATGGTGTCTCATGCAATTACTGCCTATGGGGCTGATTGCCCAGAAACCCATGAAAGTGATCAAGAAGCAGGGGCTATTTCCATGGTCATGCTTGTCGTGGCTGCCTTGTAAGCACCGCTGTCCTCTCGTATTGTTTTCCCCATTCTTGTCTCTGTGTTTGCCCATGCTGACGTTGGTCCGCGCTTCACGGATTATTCTGTGTAGACGATGATATCTTCTGGGTCTGAATGCTGATCGATCAGTTCCCTTACCACTGTGTCTACGGCCACAGGAATGTGATCCCAGCATCACTATTGAACCCAATGTTACCATTACTACCAGTATCATTATCACCACTTATATCACTGCTAATACCATAATCCCACTAATATCACTGACACTGCTAATACCATAATCACGACTATTATCACCATCACTATCGATATAAACATTACCACCGATATATTGCTATTGTTAGCACCATTACCACCAGTTACATTATAACTGCCACCAATGTTCCCAAAAAGTAGAATTCACCATCACCACCGATATCAAAATGACTACTAATATCACCATTACTACCTATACCACAGCCACCACTAATATCACTATCACCACTAATATAACCAACACTACTAATATCACCATCACTACTAATACCACAACCACCACTAATTTCACCATCACCACTAATATGACAATCACTAATAATATCACTATCACTACTAATACCACAGCCAACCACTAATATCACCATCAATACTGATATCACCATCACTTCTAATATCACCATCGCTACTAATATCTTCATCACTACTAATATCACCATCACTACTAATACCACAACCACTACTAATTTCACCATCAACACTAATATCACTATCATCACTAATATCAGCATCACTACTAATACCACAACCACTAATATCACCATCCACCACTAATATCATCATCACTACTAATTTCACTATCACTAATAATACCACAGTCACCACTAATATCACCATCACCACGAATATCTCCATTACTACTAATACAACAGCCACCACTAATATCACCATCACTACTAATACCACCACTAATATCACCGTCACCACTAATATCACCATCACCACTAATATCACCATCACCACTAAAATCATCATCATCACTAATATTACCATCACTAATAATATCACCATCACTACTAATACCACAGCCACCACAAAATTCACTATCACCACTAATATGACCATCACTACTAATACCACAACCACTAATAATATCATTATCACCACTAGTATCACTATGACTACTAATACCACAACCACCACTAGTATCATCATCACTACTAATACCACAGCCACCACTGATAGCACTATCACCACTAATTTCAAAATCACTAATAGTACCACACTCACCACTAATATCACCATCACTACTAATACCACAGCCACCACTAATTTCACAATCATCACAATCCTTCACTGTCACCCCCAGTATTTACATTAACACTAGTATCAACGTCACTACCAGTATTACTATCACTAATGATACCACTGCCCCTACTAATATATCACTACCGAAATACAAATCACCACCGATACATCACTATTGATAACACCATTACCACGAGTTGCATCATAACTGCCATCAGTACCACCAGTATCACCATTACAACTCCACAAATGCCACTACCCCCGCCATCACAGCAATCACTAACGCAACCACCACCACCACAGCTATCACTAACGCCACTACCACCACAGCTATCACTAACGCCACCACCATCACCACAGCTATCACTAACGCCACTACCACCACAGCTATCACTAACGCCACCACCATCACCACAGCTATGACTAACGCCACCACCACCACCACAGCTATCACTAACACCACCCACCACCACAGCTATCACTAACACCACCCACCACCACCACAGCTATCAGTAACACCACCCCCACCACCACCACACCACAGCTATCACTAACGCCACCACCACCACAGCTATCACTAACGCCACCACTGCCACCACAGCTATCATTAACAACACCACCACCACCGCAACTATCACTAACGCCACCACTACCATCACAGCTATCACTAACGCCACCACCACCACAGCTATCACTAACACCACCACTACCACCACAGCTATCACTAACACCACCACTACCACCACAGCTATCACTAACACCACCACCACCACCGCAACTATTACTAACGCCGCCACGACCACCACAGCTATCACCAACGCCACCACTACCACAGCTATCACTAACACCACCACCACCACCAAGGCCACCACCACCACCACATCTATCACTAACGCCACCACCACTGTCATCATTGTTACAATCAATATCATCTGTGTTTTTTTAAATACCACCACAGGGGTCACATCCCACCTGGAATAAATTACCCACTCATTACTTACATTAACCGACGCTCAACTGTTATAGTCGAAGTTTATAGGCTGAGGGTGACAGTTATCTTGTATCTTTTACACTCTCTACGCTGTATGCTTTTATCCTTTGGCTTACTGTTACAGTTAAACCTAATGAACAATTTAACACAGCCATTACCCTATGCTGTCCGGGGGTTAATTAATTCCTAACCGTTGGCAGCTCCGATATCACCTTGCTGTTAAATGGGATTTCGACATTTTGCACCCGAGGGACTCTCATAGTAACTTTACTTAGCTTTACTGTATTTTGCCCCGTTAGCTTTCCTTAAGTAAACTTTCCACTTCAATTTAGTTTATTTAACTTTTCCTTTACTTCACCACATCTCAGGAACTCCGAGATTTCGTAGGGAGTTACCGGGAAAGTTGAAAATTATAGGAAAAAAAGGGGTGGGGGAGGGGTAGTGTGTCTGTGTCCACTTTACAAACCTACACCCGTATACTATGGGACTTTTCCGATGAATACCTACGAGATCTAGGAGTCCCTGAGATAGGGTCAACTAATAGAAAAGGACCTACTGTAAAAATTATATTCAATTAAATTTTCCAATTTTTTTTACTTGTTTATTGTACTCTACTGTATAACTTTACTCTTCTCTACATTATTAATCTACTCTGTTTTACTTTATTACTTCCCTACATTTTATTTTATTACTGTACACACCCTTTTTTCTGATTGTATTTTGTCTTTTTCTTTTACTTTTTTAAACCTTAATGACGTTACTTTATTTAAACTCAGCCTACTATGTGACTTGGATTTGTTTTGTGTTACTACTATTTCAGTAACACCTTGTAAACACGAACTCGCTTAAGAAGAAAGAAGAACATTCGGTTAACATGAATATAGTTTTGATCCTAGTAGGGATGTTTTATTCCCCCCCCCCCCCCAACTGGTTATAATGACTGTTTAACCGAACTCGATGTTTTTACGCATTGAAACTTCTGTAAAAAAATTTTTACTTAACTTATTTTTTTAATTGTCACTTCTTTGGGACTTTTCCCTTCTGTTTTGAAAGTGGTGGCATAATTCTGAACTAAAAATTGATCAAATGCCCCAAAATATAAGTCTAAACACAAAATAATGTCATTGTAAACACAGAAGAAATCAAACTAACGGAAGTCAGGGAGTAATAGTTTATATATATATATATATATATACCAGCATATATATATATATATATATATATATAAAACATATTTGTATATATATTTTCTATATATATATAAGACCAGCAGAAAAAAGGAGTGGTTCATTGTTGTGGACTGAAAACATTTTTGTTCTAGTATTTTCTGTTAAATAGTTACATTGACTAGCCCACATACACTCATTTATGATAAAAATATCTCAGGTTCTGTAAATCAAATTAGAATTTCAAACAGCTTATACAAATAGATAAGTCCGCAGCTAACGGGTTCCGTAGCATTGGTGAGGTTCCCGAAATATTTTGGATAGATTTTGAACTCCAAATTTTGCCCGAACAGCGCCGTTATGCTACTCTTTTCGATTTCCAACTGCCAAGGGATATTTCTAGAGGCGCAACAATACGGGCGTCCGATCTCACTACCCAGTTACCAGGGGACATTACTAGAAGTCCACGAGCAAAAATACCAGCCCTCACTGGGGCCTGAACCTGGGACCTCTAGCACACGAGGCGGACACCATACCTCGAGACCACGCAGCCCCCTAACAAGACAACAAATGCATTTATATTGATATGGTATTCACAATCAGTAGCTTTTCTAAGTTTTATATTGTAAAGTCATCTAAATTAGTAACTTTATGTATGTAGATGTCGGCTCTGTGGCTAAGTCGATGCGAACGCTTCGTAATGCCGGGGTACCGGGTTAGATCCCAGCTGCGGGCCATACGTCTTGCGTTGGTTTCGACAGTGGTATCTGGGAGCCGATCGTCCATTAAGCAATAGCAAACTACTGGACGTAAATTTGCCTAGTGAAACCACAAAACAGCCAGGGGCTGATGGGGTTGGTTCTTCGACGTCTTGTAAAGAATACGCAACTAACCTTACATGTGTAGATAACTTTGTAAATGTAGATAACATTTGACTACTTTCTATATGTAGATAAAAGAAGACTACTTTCTGTACGCAAATAACTTTCTTATATGAAGATACCTTTCTAAACTTTCTAAGTGTAGATAACAAATACCTTTTTATATGTAGATAGTTTTCTAAATGTAGATAACAGATCACTTTACTTTCTATATGTAGATAATTTTGTATATGTAGATAACTTTCCATATGTAAATCACTTTCTAAATGTAGAGAACAGATGACTTTACTTTCTATATGTAGATAACTTTCTATATGAAGATAAAATTCAAAATGGAGAAAACAGATGACTTTGCTTTATTTATGTAGATAATTTTCTTTATGTAGATACATGTCTATATGTAGATAACAGAAAACTTTACTTTCTATATGTAGTTAACTTTCTATATGTAGATAAAAGATGACTTTACTTTCTATATGTTAATAACTTTCTATATGTAGATAACTTTCTAAATGTGGAGAACTTTCTATGTGTAGATAACTTTCTATATGTAGGTAACTCTCTATATCTAGTTAATAGATTATTTTACTTTCTATTTGTAGATAACTTTCTATATTTAGATAACTTTCTATAGGTAGATAATAGATGCCTTTATATATATATATTATATATATATATAGATATATATATATTATATATATATATATATATATATATATATACACTAATAGATGCCTTTACTTTACATATGTAGATAACTTTCTGTATGTAGATAATAGATGCACTTACTTTTTATATGTAGATAACAGATGGCGAAAACATCGATGATAAGGCTAAGGCGGTGGCGAAAATAGACGGGAGCGTCTGGCATAATGGACGACGGTTCCACTCCTATAACAGAGTGGATCTGCTGACTACAGCGACGGTTCTCCACGGGGTAATCGTCTCCTCCATATCTGGGCTAGTGAAGCTTCAAGACGATATTGCGTTACAGGTCAGTCTGTGTATATGCCTACATGTCTCTTTGTGTATAGTAGAAAATATCGTTGGAATAGTAGTAGCAGCATCAGCAGTGAGTGTGGTGGTGGCGGTAGTCGTAGTGGCTGTGGTGGTAATATTAGTAATCATAGTGGTGGTGGCAACAGTAGTAGTAGTTATAGGGTATTAGTCTGTTTGTTTGTCTCTCTGTAGCAGGGGGGGGGGGGGAGAAGCGGTAGTAATGATGGAAATGGTAGTTGTAGTAGTGGTAATGGTAGTAGTGGCAGTGGTGGTAGTGCTAGTAGAAGATGTAGCAGTCGTAGTAAAAGGAGCAGCAACAGTAGAAGTAGCAGCAGAAGTAGAAGCAGTAGCTCCAAGGCAGAAAAACGATGGTCATGAGAAGGAGGAGGAAATCGAAGTAGGAGGTGAAGAGGATGGATGGAAATAATAAGGATTAAGAAGAGGGGAGTAGCGAAAGAAAAGCTTAAAGATGAAAGTAAAGTTTTTGCAAGAAGCACAGACAAGGAGCGTTAGGAATCTCATGCATCGTGGAACATTATGTTCCATCATCGTTCTTATAAGATGGTGTACTTCCTTGTGATATATTTCACAAAGGAATCCCCATCCCTTAGTCAGACAAACGTTTCCACACACTAAATATATTTAAAATATGAAGTACTCAAATGTAAACGCACCTACGATGGGGCTTTCAGTTTAAACATTGTAAGTTTGAAAAGAAATTAAAGCTCGCAACGCCTAAGCAACGGATACCGCTACTAATTTGTAAGTCTACTTATAATTGTCTTTTGTCTCCTCCAGGATATTATTGTGTCCTCACTACGAATGTTGACCTGGTTTCTCAACAACCCCCAAGAGGTCGTTACTATGGTGACGCTGTCAACGTTTCCGTCCAGGTATCAACTTTACTGGGTGACTGCTCGAGTTGCATTTCAGCTCAACTCCAGACAGGCGCAAAGCTCCAAAATGTTTCAGGTAGATCCAGGAATCATTTTAAAGTTTATTAACAATGTAATTGAAAAGAATGTCTAGCAAACTAGTACCTGACAAATACTTCGTTCCTGTGTCGCAGAAAACTACACAGAAAGCAACACATCGCTGTCACTGGTGTATTTTGGGAGCGGGAAGGAGGGGGGGGGGGGGCTCCAAAACAGACTGCCATTTCACCAAAACCAATAGCGTAAACTAGCCGTCAGAAGTGCCGACACAGTCTACTACTGGAATTGCACTACATCGTTGGCAGATACAGCATACAGATACTATACAATCCATTAAGGTGAAGTATCGTAGAAAGAGAGCTAGAATTATCTTTTTAGGCCTTTACTTGTGGTCAACAGTTGAAGTCAATCTCCCCAGCTCTATAACAAAAACCTCCAGCTGCCTTTTCCGTGTGTCTCTCGTGTCACTATTAAATTCGTTAAACAATAATTTATCTACATTATCAAAATTTATAGAAAGTAAAGTAAAGGACTCTTTTCCACGCATGTAGGGCTAGACCTATATTTTATAGACTAATCGCCACAAGGTGGGTAATGTGGTCAGCATCACGGCTGTCAAAATACATACAGACATTAAAAAGGATTATTCATTGAACATGAACAAAGTAATCTATGAAACAGAATACATTTCCTGGTCCCCAAAAAACATATGTACTGTCACTGAGGTCTAGGTTTGAGGTTTGGGGTTTGAACAATGGATCAACATCATGGCACACGAGTAATAACCTACACTTGCTCCGTTCTACTTTTAAATAAAGTCTGAGTCCGAATTAGCTCAGCGCAGTGGTCGGGCTCCGTAGCACCGGCGAGGATCCTGAAATATTTTACGTAGACTTTTAACTCAAAATTGTGCCCGGGCAGTGATTAGCCTATTCTTTTTAATTTCCAACTGCCAAGGGATTTTTTTACGTACGCAACAATACACACGGGCGTCTGATCTCACTACCCAGAGGGCAATTACTGCAAGTCCACGTGAACAAATCCCAGCACTCACCTGAGCATGTACCCGGGACCTCTAGCACACGAGGTGTACACCATACCTCGAGACCACGCAGCGCCTTGAGGTCTAGGTGAAAATGTAAGGTCAATCAGGCTTTAAAAATTTCGTTTGGCTCAAAAAAAAAAAGATATCAAAGAAAACCCAACTGAATGTATATTCGTAACCTAATCTCATAAAAACGATTGTGCTGGTGCGAAAACAGCCAATAGCATTAACTATGCGTCTCGTAAATATATATATAGATGTCGGAAAAGTGACATTCACGGGGAATGGACCCAACCGAAAGTGATGGTTTTGCAGCTTCTCAGCACACACACACAAAAAAAGGTTAATGTGTGAAATGTGAAATACTACATCAACTATGCTCGCTGTCTCTATCTTCTTATAACATTTGTCAGTTTGCAGATGGTGTTATCCTGCCCTTTGTGGCGGCTCTGCGGGATAAGATGACTTACTCGATCCTCCAGAGTATCACTGATGGCGGCTTGGGACAGGACGGCAAAACTAGAGTGTACATTGACGACTTCATTGGGGTTGCCGATTTGGACGACAAGGGACATAAGCTAGTAAATGATACTTTATTATTTTTTATGAGTTACCCATCTTTAAAGGTTGTAGATTGGATGAAAAATCAAGCTGGATGTATAAGCTGACCATCTCGATTCCCCGCTGTTTGCATCTTTGATGTGTCTAAAGATTGATGTTATTACTATTACTTGGATGAAAAATACGACTTCTTTTGATAATGCTACTCTTTGCTTGGCAGTACACAACCGTACGAGAGCCGCCATGGTGTAGCGACTAGACGCACGTCTGCGGATCCGAAGGTGATGAGGTCTGGTCCTGATGGAGCTGGACTTCTTTTAAAAAGATGACCTTTGTTCCCAAATCGACACAGAGTCCTAATGACTACCAGTTAAAGTTCTGGGAAGCAAAAGCGATCGGCATGATGTTGACCACATCAGCCACCGAGGGCTGATAGTTCTATAAAATGTATGTCTAGCCCTATATGCCTAACATTCCTAAATGCGAGGAAATGGGTACTTTATCTCTTACACAACGGTATGCAGTACAGGCACCTGTTTAGGTATTTTTGTATGGGATCGGTACCAATTTTACATAGTTTGCGGGGAGTACCAGCACATTTCTCTCTAGATACTGTAACAGATACTGTTTTTACTAGTACTACTATCGTTATGGCTATAACTACTATAACTATTATTACATTTGAGCTACTACATCTACTACTAAAACTAGTAATACAACCGCCACTACTGCCACGACTATCACTACTCCTACAACTGCTACTACCACCACCACCACCACTGCCGCCACTGCCACCACAAACAACTACTACTTCTACCATGTCCATCACTATTACTACTAATGCTGCTGCTACTACTACTACAATCAGGACTATCTATGCTATAACTACTATTACTACTACTGCTGCTGCTACTAAACCTAGTACTACTACCACCACCACTACTACTACAATCGCCACCACTGATATTACTATTGCTGCTGTTACAACACATACTACTGCTGCTACTATTATGCAGCTACTGCTAACTCTTCTAATACCCTTACTAAAAACATGGTGTTTTCCATGCTGTTTGTTACCAGGTCAGCGGGGACGATCGAGTTTTCACATCTGCAATGGCAATAAACATCCTTATAGCCGCTTGGACAGTTCAGAAAGAAACTGGAGTTTTAGAATTTGTGAAAGGTCAGTTATTGTTGCTGTTTTTACCCCCTGTCCCTGCTACTAGGTCATTCACAGAAGTCGGACACACCAGCACAGACAAAAACATAGAGGGTAGATTGGTCTGAACCCCTAGTGGAGAGGAGCTTCTTATCCCTAAAAAGCCAAAGTGTCTGATTAATGTCTGCCGGTGTCTCTCTGCCAAATGTAACACTTGTCCGATGAACCAACCGTTAACTTGTCACTCTGGTGGTCAAGGTTGTCGATTGATCTAATGTATGCCCGGCTCTCTAGCGTAGTTGGTTAAACCTGACTTTCGCGGTGGCCGGGTGACGAACTCCTTGTGGTCCGGGTTCACTCCCGGTGGTAGACAGAAAAGCCACATTTCTTGCAGATTAACGGTACCTATAATGGAATCAAGGCCGAAGGGTTGCGATATCCATAGTACCGAGCATAAGGTTTACAACTCATGATTTCTAGATACTTCAAAAAAATTGATCTAATCTGCCACCGCAGCGACAATATAAAGCCAAATCTCACAGTACCTGTTTGCAAAGTCACCAAATCGTGTTGTTTCTGTCCGAGAGAAGGACCTTTAACACACACCCCCCCCCCCCCCCCCCCCACTTCCCACACCCCTTTTCCACACTTACAATTTTCTAAGCAATTATTGAGGCGAAGAGGAGCTGGGCCAGGCTTTTCTCAAAATGACTTTGGCTCTCAGGTCGACCCAGCCTTGAGGTGGTACTAGATGCATTTCTGGGAATTAAAGGCGGCCGGCGTGTGATGCTGACCACATCACCCATCAAGTGCCGTGCGCTCTATAAAATATAGGTGCAGACCTATATGCCCAATACGGATGAGGGCGTGGAAAGGGTCCTTAAACTTTACTTTCTTTTTCTACCTGTATCACCATGAAGAGAAATTCTTTTTAAAGGTACAATGTTGTTCTTTTATGCGTTACATATTTTTAACGTGGAAGATGGGGACAAGGGGCCTGAGCCCCAAGTGCCCGTGTCTATGATAGAAGAGATAAAAGAAACTCTAAACCAGATGCCCTTACGGCTCTGACAACAAATCCAATTCCGGAGAAAACTGATGGACATTTCGTGAGAAAAACTTAACTCTTTCAGTCCCAAAGAAAGTATCATATATTCTTAGATTCATACCTTGAAGTCCAGTGAAAGCAAGGTGTCAACATTGTTTGTCTGTTAATTATCCCTTTGCCCTCTGATACAAAACCTCCTGGAACTGAAAGAGTTTTTTTTTTTTTTTTTTTAAACGTAAATAAACAGGATATACGTCTGGACCGGTAAAAATTTATAAGACAACGAAGCCAGCTGTTTATTAAGCGTATGAGTGAGCTAAGAAGCAGGAACTGACATCTGTACCAAATGGACTGAGGAAACGAGGATGTTCAAGAGAAAAAGCTGAAAGGGACGTTGAGGAAAGACGCCCAAGTACTTGACTAGACTCACTTCACTATTAAACAGAACGGACTAGACTGCGAGGCCTATACGGTGCAAAAAAAGGCAAAGCAGGTTGACAACGATGATGACGATAATTATGACTATAACGACGGTGATTATTATGATGGTGGTGGTGATGATGATAATTATTGTGATGATGATGATGATAATAATAGTGAGGATCATGATGATGATGATGAGGATGAGGATGATGGTTATTGTGATGATAAAGATTGTGATGGTGATGATGATGATGATGATGACGATAATTATAACTAGGTCGTCGATGATTAATATAATGGTGACGGTGATAATATCTCTCTCTCTCTCTCTCTATATATATATATATATATATATATATATATATATATATATATATATATATATATATATATATATATATATATTTACACAAGTACGCGTTTTTTTTTTCTCTCTGTCAGAGATCGGAGACCCTGTCCGTATTGCCATCAACAGTTTGGCCAACTATGTCTCCGGAGCTATAACAGATCCAGCCAACCACAATCTCAACGCCTTTATGAGCGAACAACCCAAAAACTGTGAGGTAATAGCATCTTACAGTTCTACGCCTCTCCTTCTTCTTCTTCTTCTTCTTCTTTTTCTTTTTCTTCTTCTCCTTTTTCTTTTTCTTTTCTTTTTCTTCTTCTTTTTCTTCTTCTTTGTCTTCTTTTTCTTTTTCTTCTTCTTCTTCTTCTTCTTCTTCTTCTTCTTCTTCTTCTTCTTCTTCTTCTTCTTCTTCTTCTTCTTCTTCTTCTTCTTCTTCTTCTTCTTCTTCTTCTTCTTCTTCTTCTTCTTCTTCTTCTTCTTTTTATTCTTCTTCTTCTTCTTTGTTCTTTGTATTCGTCGTCTGTAAACTCCAGCGGGAAGTTCTCGTCGCTCGTTCATTTCTGGACATTTGACTTGTTCCAAGACTTTATTCGTGGGTGCACATCCACGTTACAGATCTGGATTATTTGTATGCAGACTGTTGGCTTCTCGCCTCTCTGGAAGATGTACTCTGGTTTAATAAGAACCCCCACCCTCCCCCAATAAGTATCATTTAAGACATGCTTTCAAGAATGGCATGAGTCTAATACTCTTATTTTGCCATAATAAAACCCCAGAACATACATCACACAGCTCTAAATGTGGTTTCAATCCTCAAACTGTTGTAGAGATTCTCTGATGTTATCGTTCCACTTTGTTCACGATGACCCCCGTGATCTGCGTCGTTCTACTTCTTTGGTATATGCTTTGTTTGTTTCCTAATTTGCTTATTCTCAAAAACCCAGGTTTAAATATGCCTACTATCATTGTCTCGTTTATCCCTATTTACTCGATGATTCTCTCCTGTTTTGCTGGCAATACGGTTGATGACATCCAGTTCCCACGAATATACCTTTTTGCATCGTTACAATTAAGGCAAGCGCCAAAATCTCGGATGTTTAGACCCTTTTGACCATTTTGGGCCACCCCAACCCCAAATAACTTCGCAAAGCGAGTTAGGCAAATCCCCTTTGCACCACACACACCTGAGCATTGGCATACCGGAATGGTTTCCTTTCCTTCTAGCGTCTGTAGAAACTAATGGGTTTACTTGATGAAGGAAGGAGTCGGTGTGGTTTAGCTGCTAGATGCTTGCCTGCGGATGGGAAAGTTGTGGATTCGGTTCCTGACTTTAATTTTCATAAATGAACTTGACTTCCATGTCGACGCAGCCTTAAGTGAGTACCAGGTGCAGCAGGAAGTCAAGGCGGCCGGTGTGATGCTGACAACATCATCCACCAAGAGCTGATTGTTGTATGAAAAATAAGTCTGGCCCCCATATGCACAATGCGCCTGAAAACGTGGAAAAGTGTATTTTACCTTACTTACTTGCAGGGTGGAGGAGCTAGTCCAACGTCCAGTCCACATTCTTTATTTTTCCAAATATCCGGGCTTGGTACCGCTAGACACTAGACACCTGTAACAATTGTGGTTTTAGCACCATACGCCCAACGCGCCACTGTTTGAAAATTGTCGTTTAGTAGAGAGACATATGAAGAGACAGACATCCTGAAAGTTTGGCTGAGACACAGACACAAACTCATTAGGTGATTTATCAGCATCACACATGGCCACTTTTACCTCTCACAATATTATACAATACATATAGAGAGTCGGCGCCTGTGGCTTAGGCATTGTGAACGGGCTTTGTAATTCTGGGTGACGGGTTCGATCTCAGCTGCGGACGATTTGTCCTACGTTTGTCTCGACAGTGGTACCGAGAGCTGACCGTTAAGGAAGCAATGGCAAACTACTGAACGTATAATTTGTCTTAAAAAACCCGCAAGAGACCAAATGTAGGGGTTAGTTCTGCAACGTTCTATAAAGGATACGCAACTAACCCTTTTTTTTTTTAAACCTATAGAGATGTGTGCAGTCAAACCAATGTCGAAAACGAAATATATAATATGGCAGAGGTCCGGCATCTGGGACCCCCTGTGGGAAACAAATATAGACCCACTGCCCGCCTAACATGCATGTCGTAGGAGTTGACTATTTAGTGATGTTTCCTTCGAAGTCAGAGCGCAACTGCCTGAGAGACGAGGAACTAGTAGTCTGCATACATATAGACTAGAACTGTAAAATGGAAGTACATGCAAAGCTAAAGTTCTGGAACAAGACTAAGTCCAGAACTGAAAAAAAAAAACCCCGTAACTTTCTGCTGGATTTACAGCCTATGAATGCCAAAAATAGAAGGGGGAAAAAAAGAAGTTGTGCCAAAGAGGGCCAGCACACGGAAACGGAAGAAGTACAAATAAACAGCGGAACGTTTCCGCCAAAATTTTAAAAATTCATTGCAAATAATACAATATTTATTTTCATACAGATGAACATAGCAATCAACATCATATTATCAATGTTAACATAAATACTAATATCCTCATTACTATACTAATTATCGTCCCTACCCCCTACGCCAGAGGGACTTAAATCAGTTTAAATGTAACATTTTTTGTATATCAACACAGACGCTACCCCCAAGATATCCAGCCAACATCATCACATCATCTGAAGGAATTGAACTGAATCCCTCACAACCAGAACTGAATCACAGATATGGCGTCAAGGGCTACATCTCAAAAGTAGATTACCAAAATTTATTGACCAAATCTACATTTGGATATACCACTCGTGGGGGCAGCCTCGAAGATTTGAACAGCCCCACTTCTATTTATCGATTCTGGTCGTCAGTAGCGTATACTAAGGCTGTAGCTCTGCTTGCTATAGCACAGGCCGCTAACCTGGAGATAGATACAGCTAGTTGAAGCTGTCTTAGCTTTAGTTCAATTTTGTGTTCTTACAATATGATTTCAAAGCAATGTTTCCCCGTTGTGAATTTTAACAAAGAAGATACAAGCAATAGCGTGCCACATTTATTGCCTGACATATTTCGATATGCCTCGTCATATGCATACTACAGTAACAGTTTATTGAATGTTGAATGCTGAATTAGGAATCGACATCACAGAACTCGGGACACCCCCATAAGCGCTCCGTCCCCATCTTCAGTAGCAAGCGAAGAGTTAAAATTCCGATGGTACCAGTAACTGTCTGATTGTGTATCCGTCTCGTCTTTCCCCCTGAGTGTCAAGCGTCAGTCAGAACGCCTTGTAACTCGTCGTAATGATCTATCTGTGCCTCAGCACTGTTCACTCGCTCCCAAGGGCCCTCACAACATCCAGTTTGTCACACATCAGTTCACCACCAAGGGGTGCAGAACCGGTCAGACTATCTGACTGCTCATTTCTCAACACACCGGCATAACCTGGAGAAAATATTCAAAGGATGCTAACCAGCCATTTTTTAAAGGAAGCAAATAAATATTTGTATAAGCGACCGCTATAAACTGGTTTAGTCCAAAATTACGCAAAGGACATGCTCTGGTGAAACAGAATTCCAGAGAAATTTGACTAAAAAGCTTAACAAAATGGGAAAGAGGAAAACGTGCAACAGATAGTTTTTGAATATAGTCGGTTTTGTGTTTCAATTTGAAGAATTAATTTTTTTTTTTTTTTTTTTAAATAAATGTTACTGTAGTTTACACCTAACGTGATACAGCAAAATATACCAGGCAATTAATTGAGCAATATATTGTTTGTGTCTTCTTAGTTAAAATAATAAGATTTGTTTGTAAAGGTATAAGATTGTGTTGCTCATAATTATAAACAAATCAAACAAAAGCCTTTATCATCATCCTCACTATCTCCTCCTGTAGATTCAGGGGCCCTGATGTTATTTTTTCCCAGAAGGGGAAAAAGTAGGGGGGGGGGGGTATAAACCCTTTGCCTGTTAACAAGAATTTTGAAGATATTTAATTAAGGGTTGTTTGTTTGTTTTAGTATCCAGAAGCCATGAGTTGTTAACCCTTAAGCTCGGTATTATGGATATCGCAACCTTTCGGCCTTGATTCCATTGTAAATACCGTAAATCTTGGAGAAATGTGGCTTTTCTGCCTACCCCCGTGAGTGAACCCGGACCACAAGGAGTTCGTCACCCTGTCACCGCGCAATCCGGTTTAGCTAACTACGCTAGAGAGCCGAGCTTAATTAAGGGTTTGATGACATCGCAAATTAGGTGCCGAAATGTGAAGAGAGGTAAGGTAGTCTGACTGTAAACCATAACACACAGTTTTCAGCCCACCGATGTAAGCTCTAGCCAAGAACGAGAAGATCAAATGAAGGCAATACGGATTATGACCTAAGAAGGTCAACTAGGGAAGGTGAAGATGAACACCGGTGCAACCGAATGCTTTAACCACACGTTTTTAAATACATTACACATTGTCTGGAGTCGTCGTGGCGTTGGCGGCTATACGCCCGCCTGCGGATTGGAAGGTCGGGTTCGCGTCCTGGCGGAGCCGCACTTTTTTTTAAAAATGTCCTTGATTCCCAGGTGGACTCAGCTTTGAGTGGGTACCAGGTGCAGTCCTGGGAAATAAAGGCGGCCACCTTAATGCCGACCACATCGCCCACCAAGTGCCGATTGGTCTAAAGAAATCTAGGTCAACTCCAATATTCTCAACACTCCTAAAGGCGTGGAAACCCGGCTCTCTAGCGGAATTGGCTAAACCGGATTTCGCGGAGACCGGGTGACGTACTCCTTGTGGTCCGGGTTCAATCCCGGGGTAGGCAGGAAAGCCACATTTTCTCCCAGATTTACGGTATTTACAATGGAATCAAGGCCGAAAGGTTGCGATATCCATAATACCGAGCCTAAGGGTTAACAACTCATGGCTTCTGGATACTAAAACAAACAAACAAACAAAGGCGGGGAAAAATGACTTGACTATTATAAGCTGTCGAATATGGGCTTTGATACGGAAGAATCGATCTCAAAGAACAGTCATCGTTATGCCAACAACATGGTCAATATAATCATGTCACCATCTTCATATTCAACAGTATTTATCTCATCAGTGACTGTCCCCTGCCCCAAGTTCTCTCATGCTAAATTCACGCTATATAGCAAATGATTTCTTAGTCCAATATAAGACACTTTTTTGTTTTAAATCAAGTTCAA